CTTTCCAAGTAGTCTCCATGTTTCCAGTGTCTTTTCTTCCCACTTGGAACTGAACCCGGATGGACATTTCTTCCAACAGGCCCAACTCTTATAGCCATGCATTACTATTGGGGAAATCATAACTTTGACAATATAGACAGCAAGGTGATATCTCTTCTTTTTGCTATGCTCTCTGATTATACGTAATAGTTTTACTATTTCAAAATTGCCATTATGTTGATTTTTCCTCTGCTTTCTGCTCTGTGACTGTAATCAAGTTTTGTGATGAGTTCACCCAGACCTACACTGATCCACTCTACTGAAGGAGTTACCAGGTTGTGTTGCCTGGTATGTCTTGAAGTATAATTCCTAGCTAGGAAAGATCTAAAATTTGAACGATCTTCTAACACTTAATAATGAATCCAGCTTTGTGACAGTTCTGCTGGCTAATTAAGACTATTCCAATTGGTTTCTATTTTGGTAATACAAGGAAGGTTGTGTTTCCTTCAGCTTTGTTCCTTCTTTGATAAGGAAGCTTATTTATTCTTATCAGGGCCAGAGACAGATTTAATTGCAGTTGTATTTTCAAAACATGCAGAAACGCATAAACCCTCAGGGCAAAGCCATAATGATGCCTTTGTCCTGGCCAGTAGTCTCTTTTCCATTTAGCAAAATAACTGGATGAGCAGCGCCCTCTCCTGCAAATTAATCTAGTTTTGTTCTGGGTGAAAAGGGGCTGATTCCAAAGGAAGAATATATGGGAGTGAGATCAAAGGCAGACTCCCAAGTCTTGCTAAACCCTTTAAAAACAGCTTTACAAATGCAGCGGCTACATCACAAATCTGCAAAAAAAGGGATGAGGACGTCACATACTTTGCTCATCCACAAACTACCCCCTTGGCCAAGCCTAGCATGCTGTCAGAACCCAGTTTAACCAGTTCCTGCTAGGACTGGTGGTCAGGGATGATGAGATCTGAATAGGACAAGAAGCAATGGGTGGAAACTAATCAAGGAGAGAAGCGACTTAGAACTAAGGAGAATTTTCTTGACATTTAGAACAATTAATCAGGGGAACAGCTTGCTTCCAGAGGTTGTGAATGCTCCAACACTGGAAATTTTGAAGAAAATTTTAAACAACCATTTGTCTGAAGTGGTGTAGGGTTTCCCTATCTAAGCAGGGGTTGGACTAGAACACCTCCAAGGTCCAACTATTCTATTCTATTCTATTCTATTCTATTCTATTCTACTCCACTCCATTTGTCTGCTCTGATGTACATTTCACATTCAGGACAGGGATGGGATTCAAATTTTTTACTACCGGTTCTATGGGCATGGCTTGATGGGTGTGGCTTGATGGGCATGGCAGGGGAAGGTTACTATAAAATCTCCATTCCCTCCCGATCAGCTGGGACTCGGGAGGCAGAGAATAGATGGAGTGGGGCCAGTCAGAGGTCATATTTACCCATTCTCTGAACTACTCAAAATTTCCGCTACCAGTTCTCCAGAACTGGTCAGAACCTGCTGTATATCACCTCTGATTCAGGGGAACTTGCTTTGCAAGTTCATCTAAGAGTTTAGCTGAGTTATTTTGACTCTAAGACTGCCCCAAACTGAAGAATTGGGAATTTCAGCTTCTCATTCAGTTTTTCTTTCTCCCTTAGATATACAGGTAGTCCTCAACTTACAATAATTCGCCTAGTGACCATTCAAACCTACAACAGCACTGAAAAAAGTGACATGACTTTTTTTTCAAAGTTATGACCTTTACAGCATTCCCATGGACACATGATCAAAATTCAAATGCTTGGCTACTGGCTCACATTTATGACAGTGGCAGTGTCCCTGGGTCATGTGATTCCCCCTTTTCAAGCTTCTGACAAGCAGAGTCAATGGGGAAACCATATTCACTTTACAACTGTGTTACTAATTTAACAACAGCAGTGATTCACTTAATTAACATGGCAAGAAACGGGCAAAACTCACTTAACAAATTTCTCACTTAGCAACATAAATTTTGGACTCAATTGTGGTTGTAAGTTGAGGACTATCTGCAGTAAGCAGTTAATCTGAATATTGTAGTAAAAGCCTATGGCTAGGAAGGTGAGGGGAATCCCTCAAAAGAAACTACTTAAGACTGTAGAACAAAAAGGATCTCATGTATCTATCCTTTGTGGTCCTTAGAGTACTTCAACAGAGAGGGGAAAAATGGGGCCCTGTGTCACATTTTTGGAGTTTGGAAAGCTTTACAAGACACAATAGTCAATCCCAGACACTTAAGACACCCATTACTAAAAGCTTTAAATGGTGACTTGGAGGAGGGGAAAAGTGGGGGGGGGGGAATGCTTAGATATTCTATTGATTGATTTTTTTCTTTTAGAATATGTGATAAGATGTAATGCTACAGAAGATTTTTTGAGATTGTCAATGAATGCCAGTGGGTGATTGTGTTTTTGAATGCAAATGATATCAGATAAAAGCATGTTTAAATAATTTCAGTTAAATGAGAATGGCGATGTATTGATAGTAAAATACATGAAGATTTTTGATGTAAAATGTACTATTCAATGGGAAGGAAATATATGTAATAATTATGATAGAAACGCAAGAAAACTGTTTGTAACCAATCGACACGCTTTTGACAGGATGTAATGAAGAATGATTCTTTTTTTTGTGTTTTTGTTTATTTTTTAAAAAAAAGACACTCATTACTTTGTCCTTTAAAAGTCCTCAAGTACAGGGAGTCCAAGTACAACTGTTAGTTTCAGTGGTGGGTTGCTAAAATGAGGACCCAGATTGTTGGGGGCAAGATGCTGACACTATAAATCTGTGATGGCAAAACTACGGCACGCATGCTGGAAGTCACATGCAGAGCCATCTCTCCAGACATGCAAGCTGTCGCCTGTTGTTCTTCCAGGTTCCAGCGCACTGGCCATCTGGTCTTCATGCGCGCAGGCAGGCCAGAAACTGGAAGATCCTCTGTTGCTCTTTCCGGTTTCCCAGTGCACATATGCACACTGGCCAGCTGGTCTTTCTGCACACATGCATGCTCTTCTGGTTTATGGCACACACATGCACACACATGCATGTTCCCATTTCGGCACTGCTATAAACTATTTAGAGAGCACTATAAAGCATTGTAGAGCTGTATGTAAGTAAAAGTGCTATTAGCAATAGCAATAGTGCTTAGACTTATATACCGCTTTCCAGCCCCCTGTTCTACAGAATCAGCATATTGCCACCAACAATTTGGGTCCTCATTTGGAACGATAGAAGGCTAGTCAACCTTGAGCCTGGTGAGATTTGAACTGCCAAATTGCAGGCACGTGGCAGTCAGCAGAAGTAGCCTGCAGTACTGCTCTCTAACCACTGTGCCACTATGGTTATTGCTACAATGGTACTTTAAAAAAGTAATTTATGACCCTTTTCACACTTATGACCCTTTTCACACTTGCAGCATTCCCATGGTCACATGGTCAAAATTTGGACACTTGGTAACTGGAATGTATGTGTGATGATTGGTGTTTTATGGCCTTTTATGACTTGCTGAGAAGCAAAGTCAACAGGGAAGCCAGATTCACTTAACCATGTTACTAATTTGTTAATTGTTGTGATTCATCTAACAACTGTACAAGAAAGGTCACAAAATGGGGCAAAACTCACTTAACAATTGTCTTGCTTAGCATCGGAGATTTGGGGCTCAATTGTGGTTGCAAATCAAGGACTAACTGTAGCTTTCCAGAATTGGCCCTGGACCCACCCAGTATTGGTGTGAGATCCTCAAACTAACAAAGGTTGGATGTTTTTGACCAAAAGAGAGTAGGAAATGAATAGAGTCGAGTAGAATAGAATAACAGAGTTGGAAGGGATCTTGAAGGTCTTCTAGTGCAACCCCCTGTCTAGGCAGGAAACCCTACACTACTTCAGACACATGGATATCCAATATCTTCTTTAAAACTTCCACTATTGGAGCTTCACAACTTCTGGAGGCAAGTTGTTCCATTGATTAATTGTTCTAACTGTCAGGAAAATTCTCCTCAGTTCTAAGTTGCTTCTCTCTTTGATTAGTTTCCACCCATTACTTCTTGTCCTGCCCTCAGGTGCTTTGGAGAATAGCTTGATTCCCTCTTCTTTGTGGCAACCCCTGAGATAATGGAACTCTGCTATCATGTCTCTCCTGGTCCTTCGCTTTAGTACACTAGCTATGCAAAATTCCTGCAACCGTTCTTCATATGGTTTGGCCTCCAGTCCCCTAATCATCTTTATTGCTCTTCTCTGCACTCTTTCTAGAGTCTAAAAATCTTTTTTACATCGTGGCGACCAAAACTGGATGCAGTATTCCAAGTGTGGCCTTACCAAATGGTATTAACACTTTATCTTGCATCAGATAAACTTCAGGCCAACTTCCAAGTTATGGGCAAACTTGCCCTGGTTATCTTTCCTTCTTATTTTCTTCTTTCTTGTTTTTCTAAAAAAATATTTTTATAGTCAGGATACTAGGGTAGATATGTATAATAAGCAATTTATTTTATCATTTTGACTTTAAAACAATAATGTAGATTTACCCAAAGAAGATCCCCACTCTTGGATGGTAAAACTACTGAACGATTTTGCTGCATTGCTAATTGATCCTTCTGTTCTAATAAACATAATTTTTTACCCCCAGTGAATTTTCCCATAAAGCACGCAGCTCAACTATGTCACCTCTTTGGATCCCCAAGGAAGATGATAATGTAAAATAATCTCCTTCCGCTGATTTTTAAAATTTGTTTTACACTGATTGTTCTCCTGTTTTGCCAACTTCCTACCATTTCTCAGGACACCAGGCCGTTTCTCGAAAAGATGCAACTTTGTGTTCCTACTGTGCACTTTCCAGCTCTCCCAGTCACTAGAGGGCGCTCACGAAGTTTGAAATATCTATTTTTTTTTAAAAAAAAGCAACCTGAAAGAACTATATTATAGTTCTTCCGTTGGCGAACTGCTTTTTTTCCGTTTTTTTTTTTTTTACCCCTCCTTTCTCCTCTTCCTTTTATTTGGGCAAAAGGAGAACAGCCAAAGAAGCCGAACACACACAGAGAGAGACGAAGAATGGTGGAGACCCAACAGAGGGAAGAAGTAGATGAAGGCTGAGATAAGAAAGATAGAGATAGAGAGAAGGGGAAAAAGGAGGAAACACTAGAAAACAAGGGCAGAGGGAAAAACAACAACAACTGAAATAAACTGATGCAGGAAGATTGATGGATGGCAGGACAGAGACAGGTGGCAGGCAAAATTTGATGGATTAATAGCAAAGGGATGTGCATTCAGAATCTTTCCAGCATCCAATCATCTCTGTGAGCAAAAGAAGATAGGGGGTGCAGAGAAACCGATCAAAGAAAGAAAGAGGGAGAGAAATGGGATAAGGAGAACAAAAGAGCACAACTCAGAACTAGCAGCCCAAAGAGAAAGCTCCCGATCGTCTGCCCTCTCCATCCATCGCAGCTTTCCGACTCTCCAAACTTCTGATCTCATGTCAGGACGTGCCATTCGAGCCGAGACGAGGAGCCGGGCAAAAGATGACATCAAGAAAGTGATGGCTGCTATTGAACATGTCCGGAGATGGTGAGAACAATTTGGGGATTGGGGGGGGGTGTGTAACCGGGGGAGGACTATGGTGAGAAAGCAACAGGTTGCCCCGTGCAGTTCTGACTGCCTTTAGGAAGGTCCCAGGATGGCACAGGGTGGGTGATCTCAAAACATTTGGAGGGTACCACGAAGGCCTGTTTTGGGGGGAAGCGACTGCTGGTTTGGGGTGTTGATTATGGGTCTTTCCACCACGTCTGCACAGCAGGTGTACTTCTAGATCAGTGTTTCTCAACCCTGGCAAATTTAAGACAGGTGGACTTCAATTCCCAGATGAAGCCCACCTGCCAAGCTTGTAAAACACTAATCTAGATGGTTTGGAAGGTGTGCTGAAAGCAATTTAGACAGCCAGATGTTTTTCTATAGCTTTGATCTCAGTGCTATCTGCCCAGGAAGGTGGGGTAGGATGGTTGCACCCCGGATGACTGGTCAAATGTTACTGTGTCCTGGAAGGGATCTCTAGAAATGGTTCCTCCTTCTCCCTTTTCCACCGAGCAGCTGATCCAAGTGCCTGATGTCATATTTTGGGTAAATTTTGCCTTGCGTGATGCTTCCCCTTTCCTCATCAAATTGTCACGCGAGAGGCGTTAGCTGCAGCCACATAACGGTTTGAAAGCCAGCAGCTTTTCCGGCTATGGGAGAATATCGTCTGGCTGCTTTCTGTTTCTATTGAATCTGAAATTATCAAAATTGTTTGTTTCTGCTTTCTGGTAAATGCGATCTTCAGCTTTGTCATGATTTCACATGACCTATGAAGTCCATACAGTTTGCCAGGAAGGCGAGAGAGAGAGAGGAAAGAAAGCTAAAGGAATAAGATGACGGGCCATGAAGTGGTATTGATATACTGCAGTGTTTTCAACCTTGGTAGCTTGAAGATGTGAATTTCAACTTCCAGAATAAGAGTTGGAAGGGACCTTTGAGGTATTCTAATCCAACACCGTGCTCAAGCAAGAGATTCTATACCATTTCAGACAAATGGCTGTCCAATCTCTTCTTAAAAATCTCCAATGATGGAGCACCCACAACTTCTGGAGGCAAGTCATCCCACTGATCAATTGTTCTCACTCTCTGGAAATTTCTCCTTAGTTCTAGGTTGCATCTCTCCTGGATTAATTTCCATCTATTGTTTCTTATCCTGCCCTCAAGAGCTTTGGAGAATAGGTTAACCCTCTCTTCCTTCTGGCAGCCGCTTAGATATTGGGCGCGGTGGCTCAGTGGCTAAGACGCTGAGCTTGTCGATCAGAAAGGTCAGCAGTTTGGTGGTTCGAAGCCCTAGCACCACCTAACAGAGTGAGCTCCCGTTACTTGTCTCAGCTTCTGCCAACCTAGAAGTTCGAAAGCATGTTAAAATGCAAGTAGAAAAATAGGGACCACTTTGGTGGGAAGGTAACAGTGTTCCGTGCTCCTTCTGCGTTTAGTCATGCCAGCCACATGACCACAGAGACGTCTTTGGATAGTGCTGGCTCTTTGGCTTTGAAACAGAGATGAACACCGCCCCCTAGATTTGGGAATAACTGGCACATATGTGCAAGGCAGTGACGTGCGGTGAGGTTTATGGCTGGTGAGGCACTGATACAATTTTTTTTAGAGTTGTGGACTTGAACTCCCAGAATTCCACAGCCAGACATGCTCAGTTCCGATTTAAAGCGACAGCATTTGTTTTTCTCCTTTGCGAAATAAGTTTCCTTCTTTCTTTTTCTTCTCCCTTCCCCTCCATCTCTCTCCCCCTCTTTCTC